AGTCATCTCTTCTCATACACAGAAGGGGACCCTCTGAGCCTGAGTGAGGGCACAGCATGTGAGGAGTGGTTCTGATTCCTGAGAAGGGAATTGGAAGGCTCCGGGACCAGTGAGGAAGGCCCGCGACAGAGGTCAATTCAAAACTGACCCGTGCAGTAAGAAGGCAGAGTCCCTGGGGCACCTCACCTTACCCAGCCTGGCCTGAAAGCCTGCTTTCCCCAGCATGGGAAAGACCAGGCTGCTCTGGCCTTGCTTCCTTTCCTAGACCCACTGGAGGACTCTGGGATAGGGTTCTTTTGCCTGCCCCTCTCATACAGAGGCTACTATCTATAGGACCTTGAGAAGCTGCTGTAGGTAGGAGCAAGTCTAGGTCTCCACCCTTCACACGTGGGGGTAAGGTAGGAATCCTATCCTTCTGCCTCCTTTGCTCTTGTGACAGGAACTGTCTGTCCTTCAGCTGCCCCAGCACCGGGCACCCTGCCCAGAGTGGAGGGGAAGGGGACAAACCAGCAACCTTCACTTCCAAGTGCTTGGGTCTTAAACAGCTTCAGCAAAACCAACAACGGCACGAAAGAGGTAAGCCCCCACCCCCGACGTGACTGCATGCTGGAGACAGAACCCTGTGTGCTGGAGACAGACCCCTGACCCCTGTGTGCTGGAGACAGAGCCCTGTGTGCCGGAGACAGACCCCTGTATGATGGAGACAGACCCCTGACCCCTGTATGCTGGAGACAGAGCCCTGTGTGCTGGAGACAGAGCCCTGATCCCTGTATGCTGGAGACAGAGCCCTGTATGATGGAGACAGACCCCTGACCCCTGTATTATGGAGTCAGATCCCTTGACATATGCAAGGCTGTGGCTCACGCCACCTCCCACAGGCTCCATTTTCTCCTCTATTGAGTGAAAGTTCACTGGGTCCTCTTCTTTCCTAGAGCCTAGGGAGATTTCAGCAGTAATAACCAAGCACATGAAACTACGGAGCACAAAGACCTCAAGAGATGATCCCCGACCTGATGTCTGCGGTCTTCCCAGGTCTGGTCTAGTTCACTCCTGGACACTCATGAGCCTGGCCAGGAGGGGACCCCTGACCCCTCTACCACCTGCTACGCACATGCCTTCTGGTTCCTGGGTGACACCCTTCTCCCGGACCTTCAGGACTCTGAGCTGAGGTTCTTCCGAAGGGAACTTTACATGGCTGGCCCGCCATCACTAGACGTTGGTGCCCCCAAGAATGGCCTGTCATCCCAAAGGTCCCTAGGGAGTTGGTGGCTCAGAAATGAAAAGACAAGCAAATGGAAAGGGGACTTAGTGGCAAAGCACCACCCAGTCACTTCCTTTTCCTTTCCCCGTATCTTCCTGAGGACTCTACACAGGGCAGGGAGTTCCCCAGTACTGCAAATGAAGACTCGTCTTACAGAAATGAAGAGGAGTGGGTAACAAGGCCGGTGGGTGGGAACCCAGCCCCCAGCAACCTCCGAATCCTGTGTCACATGTGACAGTTCCTCCGTGCTCCGGTCCCCCCACAGGGCTTTGAGTACATGTCCACTTATTCTTTGCGGCATTTTGATGCTACAGCCAACTGTCATTTGGACATCCGAGGTCATAAGGGATCCATGATCAGTAACTCAACCATCTTCCTGATTGACTACAGGGCTGTACTGTTCCCGAGTCTCCAAAGACCTTAGGATTCCCTTGCTCTTGAGCCAGGGGCATGACCTGAGGCTAGTGTCTATCTGTCTGGGCACAAGCCTGAGTAGACTCAGCCACAATGTGAAGGCTTCTATCTCCAGGGCCACCTCAATTGGCCAGGCTACTCGGGGATGAGAAGGGGACAGCTTGGCTTCCCACTAGAAGCTGGCATGAAGCTTGGCTTCCCACTAGAAGCTGGCATGGATGCAGCTCGTGAAGTTCTAGCCTCAAGATGTTCCTAGGAGCTACTCTCAGCCCTAAGCAATCCGGACAGCTCTACAACATGAACCCATCTTCCATGCAATGCCCGCATGTTCCTATCAGTGACCCCAGGTTCTCGTCCTGTGAACTCATGGGTAAGAAAGTAGAGTCCTGGGTATACGTGTATGCTGGTGTGTAAGTTCAAACCTGAACTCTCTCAAGACAGGGGGAGGGGAGAGTACTGGGTCCCAGTCAGGCAAGACAGGGCATTAGAAGCTGTTGATCAAACTCTTTTGCCCAGCACTTCCCCTAAGCACTTCCATTACAGCTTTTCTCAGTGAAAGCCTGCCCTTGGCCTGAATGCCACATGAATTCCCACAGCCTGGATTATTGCACAGAGCTCCCGGCCCTTTTCAACCACTATCTTTATGGTTCTTCAATCAGCTCCTTCCCAGAAAGGGCCATAGTAGAGGGTCTGTGGGTTTGGCATGCTGGTAGGAGGGTACAGGCTTATGGGGAAGCCCCGTGTGCCCTTAGACATCAGCATCTCTGGGTGGCAACCCTGTTAAATATGTTAATATCAGTCAGCTGGGGAGGGGGCCAGAGAAGTCCTCAAAGGCCAGGGTATAATTAGAAGTAGGACAGGGGGGCCAGTCTAAGACTGCGGAGACCCTAGACTAGCTATGGAGAAAGGAACATCCTACACAAAGGGGATGGCCATGGTTCCTTCATTAAGGAAGGAAACAGATGTCTTCCACGGAGGCCAGAGCCTCCCAGAAAAACACTTCCTTTCTGTAATAAATACTTGACTCATTTTCAGAGCCCTCCCACCCATCTGGAGAAGGTGTGTTCATGTCTAGATGTCAGGAATGGCAACTCGAGACAGAAACTCCAGCAGTCTTGGTCCAGAAGTCCAGAACAGGCCCTCAGTTCTATAGGCCTGATTCTCCTTCCATGGGATTAAGGTGGCCCGGAGGTAAGATGGGGACTTTCTGAGGCCTGACCTTTCATGGCGAGGCTGAGACATATCACCAGCTTCCTAGACAGCGAACAATGGCTTTCCTCCTGGGGAAGGGTCCCAGTGGAGGTGGTAGGTGGGTGGGTCCTCCTCTCTGGCACTATATGGCCACCTCATATAGTGCTGACTCCATTGTAGTTTTCTAGAGAGTTCCTCCTTTCCAGAGATCACCCCACAGAATCCCAGTGACCACCTAGCAGCCCAAGGCATGCTCCCCTCTCTGGAGCCCAACTCCAGGGACTCTGTACCCAGAAAGTATCTCTGGAAAGCAACCAGGCACATAGTAGTGTCTTTCACTAGGCATGTGGACTAGTCAGAACCTCTTATCTTGTTGGGGTCTCAGAGAGATAGCAGGTCCCCTTGTCTACAGTTCATTGCTGCTGCTGCAGCTACCCAGACAGGAGAGACACCTGACTTTGGCTTTGATGGATCCACAGGACAGTAGAGCCCTTTGGGGACATGCTGGCAAGGTAACCAAGTGATTTTTGTCTCCCTCCTTCAAGCTGCTTCCTTACTAAGTAACTATCAAACATTCCTTGAAGGACGAGAGAGTGTTGGTGATGCTTATATTAACCCTACCTTCCAGGGGACAGCCACACCCTCACCTCCCAGGACTTGGGGGAGGAGGAGAAGCAAGGATAAGGCCCCTTCAGTCTGCCCTGAGCTACCCAGGTGAGGAGTGGGGAGCAGCCCACAGTACCCTCTGTGCCTCTCTGCACAAGAGTGAGAGCTGATTCTGGTTCTAAAACACCACTGCTCTTGCTCTGCCTCAGTTGCCTTCCGAGAAAAAAACCTGTCTCAGGGAGAAGGAGGACCAGACAGCTAGAGACGTTCGACCAGGTTGGTAGCAGATGCAGTGGAGCCGCAGATCAGAGATGACAAGAACAAGAAGGGAAGCTGAGAAGAGGTGTCCTCCTCCCCCCAAAAGACTTCAGCACTCTTCTGGAACAAGCTCCACAGCCTCTGGACATCTTCTTGTTCCCCTCAGCACCATGTTGCTCCCTACGAACTTTCTACAGCCTTCCATCAAGGCCACCACATGGGGAACACTGGGGGACTTCTTCTGTCACTAAAGCCACTTCTTACTATTTTCCTGAACCCACAGATACCCATCACCCCTTCTACAGCCCAGTGAGCAGTTTTTAGCAGTTCCTTCCTGTCCAATTCCAACCCCTGCGGGTGTCCACACCTCTGGCTCCCCAAGACTGCTGAAGCTGTAACTCCCTGTATCCTCAGGGATGAGGAGGGGGGGGGGGGCATGGGTGGGGATCCAGTCCAGAGGGAGTTAGGGATCTAGAGAGCAAGACTAGTCGCCATTCCTCCGGAGGGGGTCCGATTACACGTGGAAGGCCAGCACTGTGGACACATGGGGTGACTTCCGTCAAGCCAAAGCACCCCTGGACCTCAGTTTCCCCAGGACCTTCATCCAAACCCAAAGTTTCTTTCTTTCAAGTTGAGACTGGAGGAAAATCCTGTCTTTGAAAACACATTCAGAAAGGTGGTATCCTTGTTTCCCAGGGCCCCACCACCTTGAAACTCAAGACGCCCAGCCTAGAAACATACCCCCACATGGCCCATCAGTGACGCCGTGGTTACAGAAACAGTAGAGTACACCACCTCCTACCAGGCCAGCCCAGTGCGTGGGCAGCAGAGCCCAGAGGAGTCCCTGGATGGATGGGGTGCGGTGCCCTGAGAGGAACTCCCACCTGCTCAGACGAGAGGCAGGGACCCCCAAGCAAGCCTCCCAGCCACCTCCATCCCGGCATCCCATGAAGACAGGTCTCCCAAGTCAAGGCCCTTCCTAGTGGGCAGTTTAGCCCACCCTGCCTTAGACACATGCTGGAGAACAGCCAATGTGCGCCGCATGTGGCACAGTCTCCCCTACTCCCATCCCTCCAGTCCAGCCCCAGGTCGCCGAAAGCTCTCAGCAAGCTACCCCTCCCTGCCCCCTCCCTAGCTGAGGACCCGGATTCTCATCCCTTCTCCCAGCAGCGACAGTCCCCAAGCTCACGGCACCTGAACCCTCATAGCCACCGCCAGCCCCAGGCGAGGAGCTCAGGCTGCCAGGACCAGTGGCAGTCAACACTCTTACCTGAGAGAAGACAGCCGGCGGGTCCTCCTCCTTTTTCGCGGCCTTGTGAAGCCTGCTCCACCTGGCAAGGGACTGTCAGCAAATTCCTCTCTGCATCACCACCGCGGGAGCGGCATCCCGGCTCCTCCCAGTAGGAGTCAACCTTGGCCCCGCCCTACGCTGCTCTGACCTGAGGGGGAACCCGGGCTAGATTACCATAAGCAGAGACCGAGCCTCTGCCCTGGAAATCCTGGAGCTATCAGAAACGATGACCATCGGGAATGCACAAGGCTGCCGCTCCCTGGCTGCGGTTTGCAGCTACTGAGGCTCTGGGCCTTGGCAGCTGCCTTACCCACCCACCCTCTCTCATGCCTCAAACTCTCCTCTGAGGCCATCTAGCCCAGCTATCACAGGGGCAACGAGAGACATTCAGTCTTGCTAAGGTAGCACTATGCCACACCCTGGGACCACATCCGGGCAAGGCTCAGTTCCCACTCCTTCAGCAGAAGAATGATCTATAAACTGAACCCCACCCAGGAGTGGCATGAGTCCGGTCCATTTTGCCAGGATCACACTCCTCAAGTGGGTCTCAAGTTTCACCAAATATCTGCCCGCCCTGATGGAGAGACGGGTTTTGAAGTGGGGGCTGTTACCCTGTGTTTACCCGTTTCCCTAAGACCACTATGCAAAACAAGGGCTGTGGGTAACAGCTCTCTCTCTCTCCCTCTCTGTCTGGGTCATGGTCTGGGTTCACTTATTTAACAGACGTTTTATTATGAAGGTTCTCAGTATAGTAGCTAACGAGACAGGAGCCAATACTGAATAATATTTTATAATAGTGAGATATTGTCAGAGCTGTTGGCAATATAAAAAGGCCGTGGAGGACGCAGTGTGAGACAGGGTCAGGAGATACTGGGGGAGGGGGCAGAGGATAACTGTCTTCCTGGTTTTTATAGCCAGCAGCCCTAGCACCCTGTGCTAGGTCTCCCCGTGCTATGCTTTTCCCTCTGCAGAGGGACTAGGCCAGTTGAGGTCTATGTCCCTCTGCTCTAACACTGTCACCGGGTTTCTCAGTAAGGGCTAAAGGTATGGAGACAAATCAGTTAAGTATAAGAGGATTCTTGGGCTGTGTGTGGTGATGCACACCTTTGATCCCAGCACTTAGGAGGCAGAGGCAGGTGGATCTCTGTGAGTGTGAGGGCAGCCTGGTTTACATAGTGAGTTCCAGGACAGCAAGGGGCCATATGGAGAGACACTGTCCCCCCCCAAAAAAAGAAAAGAAAAAAAGAAAAAGAAGAAGAAAAAGAAAAGAAAAGAAAAGAAAGAAAGAAAGAAAGACAGACTGATTCTCAGTGTCTATATTCAGGTCCCAACTAGGCCACCTGAAAAAAAGGCTTGATCTTTCTGAAATTCATTGTTTGATGTGGATTATTATTTTAATGTGTGCTACATTCATTGATGCTGTGGAATGTTTCTTTAATGGTGCAAAGATGTGTTGCATTCTTTTTTTGTTGCATTTGTTTAACTCTGTGAAGCTGTGTTACTTTGCCTGCCTAAAACACCTGGTTGGTCTAAAGGGCTAGGCAGGGCTGCCAGGCAGAGGCTAATAGAAGAAGAGGGGATTCCAGAAGCCAGCCACCCAGTTACACTATTAGCCACAGAGTAAGAAGAAAGGAATGTAGAATTGAGAAAGGTGAAAGCCCAGAGGCAAAAGGTAGACAGGATAATTTAAGAAAATCTGGCTAGAAAGAAGCCAAGTTAAGCCCAAGCATTCATAGGTAAGAATAAGACTCTGTGTATTTATTTGGGAGCTGGGTAGTGCCCCCTCCCCCCAAAAAAAAGATAAAGAGAAAACAACAACAACAAAAACAAGAAAACTACAATTGTTTGCACATGTAAAAGGGAGTGAGCGTGAGCAAAAGAGCCAGCTGTGATAATTAACTGCACGCCCTGAGAATGGCGCCTGCTGTTGTTAAGTTAGGAAACAGCAGAAAGTTAACAAAAGCGTTGCTCTCTCCCCTGCTCCCTCATCACAGAACTTGCTACTGCGGGCCACACCCAGACCCCAAAGCCCATGACTGAGAGACCTGCTAAATGTGACGCGGGTAACATAAGGGATCATGTGGCGGTGTGGAAAGAACAAAAGGAGACCCACACAAATGCCAGGCCGACCTAGAAGAGATGACTGGGGTATCCCAACCATGCAAATGCCAGCCATCCAGGGGGCCATCCAGGTGGGGGTCAGGTTTGTAGAAGGTTCCCGGTGAAGACGTGTGGAAACGGGTATTAGGGACCCTGCATTTGCGCTCAGTGCCTGTGAACTGCAGCTGCGTAAGCTCTCACTCCTGCGGGCTGGGCTTTGACCTGTGTCGTCCTCTCTGAACCACACCACTCTTGCTATGATCTTCACAATTGTGTCCTTAAAATCCAGTGTTTTGCAGGGAGCACAGTCTAGAATGATAATAAGCTAAAGGGTCCAAGTAGCCCAAATGGAGCTGCCTGGCAAAGTCAGCAGCTTCTCCTGCACCGAAGCTCCTGGTGTCTTCCGACGGGGCCCATGATCGTTTATCCCCTGTTATGGTTTAAATGTCAAAGCTCTTCTGCAGCCTTCCGTTCTTGGTCTGTGACTGGTGGCACTGTTTGGGGACACTGTGGAACTTTCGGAACAGTGTCCAGTTAACGGAAGTGGTTTGCTGAGGGTAGGCCAGGAAAGTGGTTACCGTATCTGCGTTGGCCTGCGTTCTCTCCTCCACGATCCACCAAGACGTGAACGAACTATGTGGTTTTCACCCCCGACACCGACAGAGCCTTTCTGGAGACTGTGCCTCCCCTGCCATGATTGACGGGTTATCCTCTGTAGCCACGAGCTGCATTTGAATTGTTTGTATCGGGCATCCCGTCCCCGCAATGAGAGAAGTAATCAAACTCATGGCTACACTATTTCCACAGATGCAGGAGGGACTGCCATGAACTGGAATGTGTCCTTCCTTCCCCCTCCCTGTAAAAGGAGATCTCTGAAGTTTGCAACCCGTATTCACACAGTGCCAGAGACTACACACACACCAGTGCCCTGCACCAGACACACACCAAGCCAGCAGCAGCTACAGACTTAAGTCCTTGGCTAGTAGGGAGAAAGTGAAAATGACCCTTCAAACGGAGCAGCCTGCTCCCATTTTCCTCTCTCCCCTCCATGGAGACTGAAACATATAGGGGGACTCACAGAGACTAAATCAACAGCTGAATGTTTTGTTTAAAAGGAAAGCAACAACATCCAGGAAGTAAGTTAAGACAAGAGAACTTCAAATCAAGTTTGTGTGTTCGAAAGAGAGAAAACTTTGACCTCCAGAAAAACTCAGTCACCCCAAGTCACACCTTTGAGGCCACAAAGCAGGTTTTGATTCATCTCCATTATGCTAACCTTCACAAGATGAGAAGTCTTTTTTGTTTGTTTTTGGTTTTGTTTCTTGTGTTTTCTGAGACAGGGTTTCTCTGTGTAGCTGTGGCTGTCCTGGAACTCGCTCTGGCGACCAGACTAGCTTCAAACTCACAGAGATCCTCCTGCCTTTGCCTCCCGAGTGCTAGGATTAAAGGCGTGCACCACCACCACCCGGCGAGAAGTCTTTTCATGTCTAGTGTCTAGAACAGTGCCTTGCTTACTAAATCCTTTTCCTGGCTGGGTCAGGGAGAGGGGGGTGAAGCCCATATTCCCTTTTCCCGTCTCCCTGTGGATTCGGAACACTGAGCAGTAAACCTGGCGTTCCCAATCAAGCCAAAGGGATTGTGGGAAGCAGGCTTCACAACCAGAGTGGCCCTGGCAACTGACCCCTGATATCTAGAAACCACTGTACCTGCATACACTCAGGTTCCGAATGACCGACCTGTACAAAGACCTTCATTGGAAATGCTTGTAATTGCCAGAACTAGGTACAACCATACAGGGCCAAAGTGAGGCAGGTGGGAGAACCACAAAGGTAGGTAGTGCATACTAACTGCGTGGTTTTCACTATTGTCATACCAGCGGTTTAGATGAGGGAGCCACATAAGGTTGTCCTCAATGCCTTGTGACCCGGAGCTGGGGAAGACTGCTAGACCGGGACCTAGGTGACAGGGGTCAGGTGACAGATCCTACGGGACCCAGAATATGAGCTGCTGACAGGGACAATATTTTCAGATTTGGAGCCAAGATAACATTTATTTCCCAAGGGACGGTCCAGTTATCCAGGTACCCTGTCCCCAAGAGCGAGCCAAAGGACGATTCAGTGGAAGAGTGGGTGCTTGTCAACAGCTCAGGCTTTTTCTCTCCTGTTCTAACTCGTCTTGCCAGGGGAAGAGAATTTGATTTCCCGAGTAGAGGAGAGCAACACACTGCCTCCTGTCTCGTCAGACATGGTGCAGGCGTGCTCCAGAGTTCTACAGCCAAAGGCCTGGGGCCTACGTCTACACACAGACCTTATACCTAACGGGAACTACATGTCCCAGGCCAGGGACCAACGTGAAAGACCCTGAGAGTCACCTGGCACTCTCTCAGTGGGGACCCCAGACCCCTCTTATCCTGGGCCAGTCCTGAACTCCATCCCTTACTAATTTTTCATGATCCCCACTCACCAAGACCACACCTATGGGTTGCTCTTAGCCAGCAGTTGCCTCTTTGACCAGTACATCTCTCTGGGAAGAAGGAAAATTGAAGACGACCCATCCACAGCCACTACCAGTGATCAATATTGGGAACTCTTGGTGGGTGAGGTCATCGTCAGGGGCCTGGTGACGTCACAAAGGACATACACAGTTTTCCTGGAACTCTAGAGAATCTAGACAGAAAGGGCTCTCCACCTGGAATAAAGCCAGCCTACAAACTATTGGGCAAGTCTGGGGGTGAGTTTTCAGCCTCCTCCCAACTCCACGTTGACCCTAGCCAATAATGGGATCATGCTACTAAAGAATATGTGGGTTCATGTGCTGATATTTTATTGTAGCTAAAGAAACCCCTGATGTGGTGTGTATGCCCCTCTGTATGCTGTGAATATGTTTTGTTACTATTGGTTAATAAAGAAGCTGCTTTGACCTGCGGCAGAGCAGAATATAGCTAGGTAGGAAATCCAAATAGATATAAGGGAAAAGAAGGCGAAGTTAGAAGCCAGCAGCAGCTGGAAAAGCAAGATGTGAGGTAACAAGCCACGAGCCTCGTGGTAAAATATAAAATAATAGTAATGGACTAATTTAAAAGTAAGAGCTAGTTAGAAATAAGCCTGAGTGAATAGGAAAAATGATTATGATTAACGTTA